GAGATTCTGTGTTTTGACCAGTTTCCTGATGTTTTTCTCCTTATGAAATCGTCTGCCTCTTCAGCACCACTTCATTAGAGCCGTGCCCAGCCTCCCTCTCCGCTCCCTCCCACATGTGCTCCACACTCCACCACCTGCTTCCCGGGGACAGCAGCAGCTTTTAACCCCCAGCTCCTTCTGCTTCCACTCACAGGAGAGGGCACGGGGAAAATGTTCATCTCATTATGGCATTACTGCCAGGAAAAAGTAGTCAAAATGCTTTTGATTAGTCAGGAGGTATTTTTATTATAGTCCGTTTGTAGATAACACACGAATTTAATTCTTTCCCCGTTTCTCTCTGCCATGTGCATTCCATCTAGGGTTGCTCCATCCCAGCAAGGTTTTTATGCATGTCTGTAAAGCTTAAGCTGAATTTCCAGGCTAATTTTGACAGCTATAGGCATATCTGTCCAGAATTACAGTGCTGGCTTGTTCTTGAGGAGGAGTATATTTAGAAAAATACAACTCTTGTCTTTCTCATTTGTATATACCGAAATATTCCGAAGAACAAGGGCAAAGGGGAGCGTGAGTCCCTCAGAGAAGCTGAGTTATTTGTGTGGAGAGTCTCTGTTGAACATCAGAGAGGGATAACTGTGCCTGTGAGGAGGACAAAGACCCAGAGCTGAGCTCCAGGCGTGGCGTGGATGGAACTCCGGGGAAGGCACCGGGGAAGGGGGATCGGGAGAGGGGGGATTTGGGGTTGGAAGCAAAACAGTCTTCTTGTTGCTCCCTGTTGTGCTCAGGAGAGCAAGACTTGGAACAGCCCTCGAAATGAAGTAAAGCAGGTGTGGTCTCTTCTGTTGGCTTATTTTAGGTTTTGGGGTTGGTTTGTTGGGTTTTCTCAGTGCAAGTGTCTTATGTGAGATATTGAAGTATTTACCTGCCACTGCAATAACCATCTCATGGCACCTATCAGGGGGAAAACACAGCAGCTGAGTGCTGTTGGTATCAGAACAAATAGTGTATTCATTGTTGGATTAAACAGGAAGGGAGTTTTGACTTGTTTGGGGTTTTCTTTTTCACTCCAGCAGAGAGCTAAGTGAGCATTTCATAACCATTCTGGTAGAAAAATCAGTGAGTGAATGGGTTTGGAGTACTGTGCATGTTCTTGGGCAGAAGACTTGCATCTGTGGTTATTTCATTGAGTAATCCAAATGAAATTTTCAGGGCAAAATGTAAAAGTTGTGATAGAAATGAACAGAAATCCTGAAATGACCTAGAAACAGGTTCTGTGAAGTGCAGAGTGTTCTTCTCCCCAGCCATCTACACTGACAGGGCAGATTTGCCAATTATCTGCCATAGAGCAGTCTTTTTATTTATTTATTTATTTATTTATTTTTACAGCAAGGCAACGCTTTAATAGTTTAAAAGCCTTTTGTTGTGGTTACAAATTGAAAGTGTGCTGCTCTTTACAGCAGCATTAAAAGCAGGGGGAGTTGAACCATCAGATTTTCTCAGTTCTGAACTGGATTCACCTGGGTTTGAAAACATTCCAGGTCAGTGCTGGTCCAGTCCCAGTGTGTGCTGGAAAGGGGCCCATGGGGAGATAGTTTGTGTCTCCCATTTTCCCAACACTGGTCCCCTGCCCAGTCCTAGATCTCCACTCATGTTTCCAGCATGGTCTCGTGACACCCCTCCAAATCCTTGAGGGATTGGCTGGGAAGGGTGGGAATGGTGGTGTTGAGTGGGAAATGGAGTAAGAGGGATGCAGGAAGGACGGAGCAGTGAAGGTTTAGTCCTGAGGAACACAGAGCACTTGTCCTGTGCTGGGAGTGCTGGGATTGCTGGACAGACACCTGAAGGTAGGTTTGGGTGCTTGCAGGGTTCTCCTGGCACAGACACTGCTCCCTGTTCTGTGCCACGACAGAAATGGAGGGAGCACCCTGTTATGGGTTGTTCTGCAGCATCTGAACCCCCTGGAGCACCCCTGGGTGCTGGGACGAGCTCGTGTGTTCACAGGGCCTGGCTGCAGGTGGGAGAGCAGAGTGGTTTCACGGGTCAGAAGTGAGAGCTCTTCAGCACGTGCTCATCTTGGGAGACAGAGGAGTGAGGCTGAGGGGGCTGCAGGGTGGGCTGATGCAGAGCCCCCCGAGCAGAGCCAGGTCCCAGCAGCAGCACGTCAGAATTGGAGTCAAACTGATGTCAAACTGCTGGGCAGAAGCGTTTGGTTCTGTTCCAGCTTGAGCTCAGCCTGGAGGTGGTTCTTCATGAGCAAAGAACAGTTCAAAACTAAGTTTCGACATGGTTGAATTCTGAGATAAAATTAATTGAAGCATTTACCGTGGTGCTGTGGTGTTGGATCTTTAATCCCAGAATTGCAACGTTATTTTTTGTGCTTGGTAGAGTGTCCTGAGCCCTGGATCCCTCGTGTTCTGTGCTGTGTAGGGAACCCAGATGGAGTGAGCTCAGGGGATTATCCAGCCCTGTGCCTCTCCTCTATTCTTGTCATTGTTTTCTCCATCTCAGTCTTCCTTTTATAAATAAGAAATATATCTATATATCCCTTGACTGGACTATGTGAGAGCTACACTAGGAGGAGATGCTGTTCTTCCTTATTTACTTAGGGATGACAACAAACATTCTGTCAGTTCTGTCAATTCTACCAGTATTTTATTTCTCCCTCGAAATTCACTTCTCAGGGTCACTTAGGGACAAGAGAATTTTGGCTTCCCTTGGGAATAATCTGCTGCTCTTGGCATTTAGGAGAAGCTTGAAAACACGACCCCAACCGACTGCTAACGCAAGGAAACGAAAATCAGCTCAAAATTAAAATGCTTCCAGAATGTCATGTGTGCCTGGTGTTGAAGGGGACTGCAGCAGATCTGTGCAGTTCCCTGCCCCACTGTGTTTTATCTCCCAAATTTGAATTGGAACGAGCCCTTTCCAGTTTTGCAGACTGAAGGTATTTGTTGTGAACGGATCTGGACTGGCTTGTCCGATCCAACGGGAGACATTTCGCTTTGGGGAAGCTTCTTGCTTGATCTGTCCTTTTTTTTAAAGTGGTGTTGCTGTAAATGGGAAAGGAAAGCAGGATTGTGCAGGAGGAGGAAAAGCAAGAAGTGCTGTCCCACCCTGTTCTCCCATTTCCTTCTGTCTTGCCCTGTAAAGCCCCGGCAGAGGCACCAGGTGACAAGGACACCGTTCCCCTCCCCTCCTGGGCAGTGCAGAGGATTCATGTGCATCTCTGTCTCTCTCTGCCTGACACATTTCACCTCCCCCTTGGGCACTTGAATTAGTTGTACAAATTGGGGCATTTTCACCCAGAGCTGTTGGGAGTGACCTGATCCAGAGCACCCGGATCCAGAGCGTGGCCCTGCCCAGGGAACTGGCTACCTGAGTGCAAGCCCAGCACCCTCTAAACCTTTGTGAACCACTTTCCTTCCCCCCCTGTGTAAATAACTCTTTGATTTTCCTCATAAACCCAGGACAGCCATTCCTAGCCACCAGACCTTGGGGGTTTGTAAGAATCATTCTTTTGTCATACTTTTCCCCCAAAAAGTCAGGATGTGACAACAAATCTGACAGAGGAGGAAACACCTTTGATTTTCCAAAAGAATCCAAGTATCAGCTATGGCAGAGAAAGAGTGAGCCTCTGACAGTGTTGTCACAGTTCTGTCAAAACTGATCTAAGTAATTATTGAACTGTTCCAAATGGCTTTTGAACTGTGGTCTTTGACCAGTTCTAGAAGCAGCTTCTCTGCTTTGCCTGCAGTGGTTTTTTTTCCTCTAATAATATGTTGTGTGGGCTTAGGTGGCCCAGAGCAGTCAATCTCTTGCTTGCTGAACATTCATTCATTTGGATATATTCAATTTTATCTGAGAAGTTTCGTTCTTTTTTCATTTTCTCATTGACAAACTGATGCTAAACTACAGTTTTTGTGATATTTTGGTGAGCCTTCTGCGAAGATAAAAGCCTCAATTTTAAAGACAACGCTTAGTTGAAGTAATTAATTAGTCTTCAGAGACGTAGGTAAATCTGCCCTGTTGCTGAGGCATTGAGAAATTTCTTTCTATAAAGAGCAGTAGGTTGGGTGGGTGCTTGTATGTCCGTGGATAAATGCTCTGATTCAACAGCCTTTCCCTGGCACCACCACAGTCACAAATCTTTAAGGACTGAAAAGAGGCAGTTTGAAGTTTTGCCATGATGTAATTTGGGCTCGTTACTGATCACCTTTTCTTCTGCTCAGCCCTCTCTCCTTGCATGTTAATACTGAGTTGGTAACCTGTGGTAGCTCAGGTGTGTGGCTCTTACAGCTCCAGTTTACCTGTCTTGGTAGCCTTGATGCCACACTCAATAAAAGGGAAGAAAATGAGCAAAGTTGGTGGGCTTGTTCACAGAGGATCAATCCAGGAGCTGTAAATGGTGTTGGGTTTTGAGACACTTTTTGTTTTTTCCACCCTTCTGCAGCTCCTCTCCTTTCTGCTGAGCCCTCTCTCCTTGCATGTTAATACTGAGTTGGTAACCTGTGGTAGCTCAGGTGTGTGGGTCTCACAGCTCCAATTTACCTGTCTCTGTAGCTTTAATTCATAAACAGGGAGTAAAATGTGCAAAGGTGATGGGCTTGTTCACAGGGGATCAGTCCAGGAGCTGTAAATGGTGTTGGGTTTTAAGACACTTTTTGTTTTTTCCACCCTTTTGCAGCTCCTCTCCTTTCTGCTGAGCCCTCTCTCCTTGCATGTTAGTGGTAAAGTTAATATTGAGTTGGTAACCTGTGGTAGCTCAGTTGTGTGGGTCTTACAGCTCCAATTTACCTGTCTTGGTAGCCTTGGTGCCACACTCAATAAAAGGGAAGAAAATGAGCAAAAGTGGGTGGATTTGTACACAGAGGGAGTGACCAGTGGGGTGGATCAGTCCAGGAGCTGTAAATGGTGTTGGGTTTTAAGACACCTTTTGTTTCTTCCTCCCTTCTCCTGCACTACCTGTCAGATGCTTTGGGATGAGTAACAGCCTTCTTTTGCAGGTACACCTCAGGAGAAGTGAGGCTGTGGGACACTCGCACCTGGGACTACGCAGCCCCCCTCCTGGAAGCCATGCCCGGTGCTGGCGAGGCTGGACCCCGGCCACACGTCTCCTTTGTGAGGATAAACAGCTCCCTGGCTGTGGCAGCTCACGAGGACGGTGAGGAACCACAACTCTCCTCCCTATTAGAGGCAGGAAAAAAAAAAAAAAAACAAACCAAAACAAAAAACCAACAACCAGGCTTTACAAAAATGAAGCAGCTGTGCTCAGCTTTTTGTGTGTCTGTAATCCTGTGTATCCACACACACACACACACACACACACTCTCTTGCTTTTATGTGAGAAAGTTGGCCAATAACCCTAAATGCATTAGGAGGCATTGGAACACAGCACCCATTAAAACTGAGCTTTAATTCCTACTGGAGCTGCTACACAAAGCTTTGAGTGCCAGGCTGTAGTCCAGCCAAGCTATCTTAAGCAAATAACTTGTTTTGCTATAAAAATATTAAATATTCTTCCACCAGCCTTCTCCTCTGTCCAAAACTCCCTTGGGGTGCTGTGGAGCTTTGTTATGGGAATGGTGGTAAACTTGCATGTCTGATTAATCCACATCCCTCTCCCTCTTGGCTCAGTGTGTGGATGCACTGAAGTATTGTTTGTGGTGGGTTATTATATACTTTGATACAGAGAATAAAAGCCTTGACCTAATATTTACTGAAGCCCTCGTAAAATCCTGGTTGTATGCATTGTTTTAAATATCCTCAGAGGTTTTACATAATGGACAAGAAGAGCCAAAGACCAACATCTTCTGGATGTGGGAACAGCAATTAAAAAAGTCAGGTTTGGACAGTGCTGGCCGACTGGGATCCTGAGCTGAGGGGCTCAGGCAGAATCAACTCCTGTCATCTTTCTTTAAAATCTGTAATTTGACACTTAAAATATCTCCTGGGTATAAATAAGGCATATTTAGAGAGCTTTGTACACATACTGCCTTTGATCCTGGCATTTCTACAGCTGAAAACAAAACTAGGGATGGATAATGCAAACCGAATTTTATTTTAAAAGTAAATTAAATACTGTATATGTTTTAAGATCATCAGCATCCTTAGCTGTGTTTCTAGCTTGGATCATGTTAGAATGGTTTTCTGTGCTAAAAATTGTTGATTTTTCCACACTTTCTGACAACAGCAGATCTGGTGTTGCTCACGTAAGATTATTTACTCAAGTCACAGGAATTATGACACAGTGATAGTTTAAAATGTTGGCTTTTTGTCCAGTCTGCCAAACAACAACTAGCAGAGGGTCTTTTGCTTGTTTTCTAGTTTCCCACTGCCTAATCTAATAATTTGTCTGGGTTTTTTTGCCTGTCATACTCCTCGTTGTCAGCGCTGTGACTGAACTAGTTTGCATAAAGCTCGGCGTCCTTTCTTCTTCTGGGTAGAAATTTTAATAGGCTCCATGATATGGCAGTGACTCTGATTCGAGGAGCCTGGTCAGAATAGATTAGTTTCTATGGGAATAGGGAATTCTAAAGCCTCATTTTAGAAATGTTTACTAACTGCAAGCTGGAAGCACATATTTACAATTTGGTGGAGGGAGTTGTTTTGAATTCGGGGAGGGCGAGGACGACTTTGAAGATAATGTGTTTGATTGTTCTTTGTTGTACTTTTCCAGCTCCCCTTTTTTCTCTTTGTTTGTAAGTTTGACTAGCACAGAGAAACCATCTGGTAGTGTTGGAGGTGGTGCTGTCAGGCACAGTCTAGACTTTCCCTGTCGAATCCCTGGCTCCCAGACTCGTCCCGATAACATCAGCTTCTCCCAGTTCAGCAGAGCTCACGCAGAGATGTCCTTGGCACCCGATCACAGGGAAGAGCTCAGGCAGATCCTGCTCACCCCATGCCTGCCTCACAGCCCTGCTTTGCCGCTTCCACAGCAGCAAACGCTTCCCAAGGCACGGGAAGGGGAGCAAGGAGGAGGCTCTGCCTTGCCGGGATGCCCGCATCCAAAGGGAGTTGTAACTCCGCTAAGGAAAAGCGGAATTCTGGGGCTCCTGAGCGTTTCTGGCGGTGCCAACCTGCGAGAAACAAGCTGCAAGGAGAGGGAAATGAGAGGGAAATGGATGGGGAGCAAATGAAGTTCCCCGTGCCCGTGCCAGCGCTCAGCGGGGGCACTGGATGTACACCTGGGGCAACGGGACTTGGCAACTCGATCCACAGTTGTGATTTTTGAATTCCAACCCACTGGCCTCATATTTCTTCTGCCTTGTTTCCTATTGTCAGCACTGGCAGCCCTCCAGTTTGATTTTACCACTAATTGTGTTGCACGTTACCGAACTGAAATGAATCAAATCAAAATGCTTTTTCCTGGAGCATTAGATAAAGCAGGCGAGGGTTCTGGGTAATGAGCAGATGCTGCTAATGCAGGGACAGGAGAGGCCTTGCCAGGACTCCATCTGCTCCATGCTTGCCTGGCTTTGGCTGGGAGCCACAGCTTTTGGGAAACAGCAGTCTGCTTTAGCCATGGCTCTCCCCCCTGCGCTCTGGAGTTTCATAGTTTGACTGGGGAACAATGTGCTGCAGCAAGAGAACATCCTTTTTGGATTCTTCCCTTTAAACACCATGTCCGTCCTCATGTCGGCACAGCAGGGAGGTGCCCCACTTGCTGCCCTTTGTGGAGTGCTTGGAGACCCACTGGGAGGGCTTGGTGGGCCTTCCCAAGCTGCAGGGCAGCTCCGTGGAGCACAGGAAGGTGGCTGCTGTGGGATCAGCAGTGCTCCTGCTTGCTGGCAGGCTCCAGGAGGGGAATTTTGGCACTGCTCCTTTTTGGGACTTCTGGAAACCTGCTGTCTTGTCCATTCTGGCGCCCTTGAAGCTGCCTGGGGGGTGTTGTCCTTCTGTGCCCTCTTTGCAAGAAGTGGAGTGGTGGGTTTGGTGGCAGGACATGCCCTAGGAGAGCAGGAGCGGGGACAGACTGGCTCAGAGGAAGGGAGAAGTGAAGGACACTGCAGGATCTTTATTCCCGTTGGATACAGGTGGCTGTGGGTGCAAACATGTGGTTTGGGTGGGTGGTGTGTGATTTCCCACCACAGTCATGGGAATTCTGCCTCTTGCATCCCCAAGTTGGGAATGAAATACTCTCTGTCTTGCCTGTGCTTTCTCTGAGGGACTGTCCAGGGTGGAAATCCCTGTGAGGAGAGGGGTGGAGATAAAACCTGGCAACACTGGGAGGAAACCAGTGTGGTAATGGTGATGTGAGGACAAGACTTATCACAGGGGTCTGATCTCTCACTAAGCACCTGCTGGAAGTCAAAATAAAATGTAAAAAGTTAGTTAAGGAACTCCAAAGATCTGCTGAGGGTAAAGTGAATCCTCTGACTAGAAATGGTTGGGGGAAAAACTCAAAATTCACAAGAAGTTTTGATACTCCAGACTGGTGCTCATTTCCACCTCAGTTCTTTTACTGTTTGTACTTCATAGGCTCATGATATGCCTGAAAAATATAAGGAGATAAATTCACCTTCTCAGTTTGAAGGAAAAAACCCCCTGTAAGGAGTCATAGAGTCAAAAAATACCCTGATTGGAAGGGACCCACAAGGATCGAGTCCAACTCCCAGGTGTTTTCAAAAGGCAAAAAAGAGGTTTATTTCATTTAAATCAAGGTAGAAAGGGCAAAATCACAACTCTCAAACAGGAACAACGTGGAGGTGATGTGAATGAAGCAGCTTCTGGCCTTCCCACAGAGCTGTGATTAGAATCCAAAGTGAAAACCATGAGCAGATTTGGATTCCCTGCTCCAGCACCGACAAAATCGTGTCTTTGCTTATTTTTCTTTGTGTTTGGTTTGGTTTTTTTTTTTCAGATAATGCACATGTAAACTGCTTTACATCTTTCTCAAAGCTGACAGCAGCCACTAGCTGACAGCAAATGCCTGTCTTAATGTGGAAGAGCTGATGCAACGGGTCATGAGGATCAGGGCTGGGATGTTCCACCCCGAGATCCAGCCTTGCCTCCCTCCCTCCCTGAGCAGGGAGCCCAGGTGGGCACCTCTCCTCTGCTGTGCCCAGCTCAGGAGGAGCTCTGAGGGGCCTCTATTGCCCTGCCAAACACAGCCACTGTAATATTTACAAATGAGATTTCACTCTGTTTGCCTCTGTGTTTGTGCTGCCTCTCCTCCCCTGATGGAGGATTAGAGGATTTTCTAGGAAAAGAAATACTTTTTTTTTTATTACTATTATTGATTCTGTGGTAAGTGTGTTGCCTGCAATACGTGAAAATAGATGTAAAAAAGCAGCTTGGAGGATGTCTTTTGTGCTCCCAGCTGCAAAGAGGAGACTCGTGGAGAGAGAATAGCCTCCAGCCATCCACCTTTGATACAGCAAGAGGCTGATGCCTCCTAAATTTGGAGTAAAGTTTGGAGTTCAGTCAGGATCAACAGTGCACTTCGTGAGGGTCAACAGGCTCATGGTCAGTGTTTTATCCAAATACTTTTCCAATCTGGAGCGAATTGCAATAAATGGACCTTTCATCAGGCCACAGTTCAGCAATATATTGGATTAGAAGTTGAATTCTTTGTCTGGTCTGGGACACAGAGGGATAAACAACAAGGCTGGTGCAGTGACTGTCAAGTGTCAGTGGTTGCACTGCCTTGTCTGCTTGAGCCAAGACCAAATCTAAGCGAGCTGGAAAGCCTGAATCGTTCTGGGGAGTTATTGTTGGAGTTCAGTTGGAACAATCACAGATTTTAGTGAGCTGTGACAACACTGCTGATCCTGACTTAACGACTTCCTAACACTTCTGAGGCTTCAGTGCTAAAAAATAAAAGGGACAGTGAATGTTTGCAACCTGAACTTCACCTTAGCAGAGAAATTGCCTTGGAAATGAAGCGCTGGAGGCAGGAACAGGGACTGTGGAGAGCAGTGATCTCATCTGACTGGTAAATCTTAGCCCTGATTTCTTTGATGTTGCCACACTAATAACTTTAAACTGGCACGTGGAGGGTTTTTTTTGCTCTTACACAAACGTGATGGACTGGTGCAGAGCCCTGTGTGCTCATAAATACATGTGGCTGTTTCTGCAGTGAAATGCAGAATATTCTGAGTAGCACCTGTAGCTTTACCTCTTGATAAATCCCGTGGAGTGTTGTTTTTTCTGTGGAAAGCTGGATAATGTTTTCCTGCTCTCATGCAGGAGTTGGACTCGATGATCCTTGTCAGTCCCTTCCAACTCAGGATATCCCATGAACTTTCCTTTTTACTCCTTACTTTGTGCTCCTTCATTACATGTGAATTTGTGACCTTACAAGTCACTCGGGTTTTTGGTATTACCAGGGATGTTTCCACCATACTGTGAGTCAGATTTTGCACACACTGTGCTTGCCTGATAACATTTTGTGCTATTTTGGACTGATTTTGCCATTGAACATCTGGTTGCAACCAAAAATACCCGTCTTGAAACCATTTTATTATTGCAGGAGCCATTTCCACCGTTGTCCCTTTTTGTGATGTTTGACATGCAGTAATAATAATAATAATAATAATGACTTGTTGCCCAAAATTAGAGAGCAGAACTCTGAATTCTGGGTTTCCCAGTTTGCTCCTGTGGTCAGAAGAGGGTTCTTTGACTTCAATGTGGGTTTTTTTGTATTTTCCAGAACTTTCATCCATTAATACACCACTGAAACCAGCGAAATGCTCATCACAGATGTTTGTAAACAAAAGGCTTCACTGAAAGCAAATCAACATCTTTTTTCCCCCCTCAGAAAAGTGGTTTTTAACTGGGATAAATATTCTACAAAACCAAAACTGAAAATCCTCCTGCCTGGAGGAGCTTGGCAGGGATACCCATGGGCTGCCCAGAAATTCCAGGTGTGACATCCGTGATCTGAGATCCCCACAGGGTTTTATCACTGATGGGGGTTGATCTCCCTGTTTCTGACCTGTTTTCTCCCCTTTTTCTGTCCTGGAGATGAGACTTTGTTTTAGGGCAGGCCCGGAGGTGCCTCAGTCGTGCTGCAGAGGGGAGGGAGCCTGTGCTGCCCATTTGGATTTGTTAACTGGTTTTAGGCTAAGTGGGAGCAATACAAGCTCCCAGTCTGGTTTTCCAACCCAGTTCAGCAGTTATTTACCTTTCAAGCAATTAACATAATTACCATTATGCTAAGAAGTAATTTTGGGAAGTTCTGCTCCGAGCCCTTACGGCTCCATCGGGACAGTTTTAGTCGGGACTTATCTTTTTGATGGAAGCCTAATTGCAGTTTTGGCTTTGTGTAAACAAACAGAGGCAGCTAATTGTTTAGGCAAATAGCAGATTAATTTAAATATTCATCCCTAATAAAACAAAAATGGTCCCCATTATGGTGCTCATTCCCATGGTGAGGAACATAAATATTCAGGGGGAGTGCCATTAGACAGGGATCTTAAGGATTATCTGCATTATTTCACATCGGTAGCACTTTCCAGATACCAAATAATCTTTACAAAAGCGAGCATAAATCAATTTAAACTCATTTAGATACCATTTCACTATGTGCAGTTTCATTACCACACTCTTGCTTCACCTCCTCTGGGACTGGGGGGGGTGTTTGCACACTGGCATCGGTGCCCATCCCCAGCTGCCTGTCGGGGCTTTTATGTCTCCTTTGAAGGAAGAGCTGCCATTAATCATTTCATCATTAATGCCTGAGTCGAGGGAAGGCTTCTCCAGCCCTTCCTCAAGATTGTTTCTCCCTTAATTCAGTGCAAAGGTGGCCAGAAGGCTCCAGTTCCACCCAGCCCTTCTGTTCCCTCGTCCGCTCCCGACTGCCTCGGGTTGCTCTTATTCAGATTATGGCTTTAATGCAGCAGCATTTTAAATAGAATATGGGGGGTCTCTGCTGGGAAAAATGCCATCAGAAATATGCTGTATTTTGACTTCACTCCTGTATCCTTTGGGATTTGTATTCTTTTTGAAACACAGAATCTCCTGAGCTGGAAGGGGGACCCCCAAGGACCATCGAGTCGAGCTCCTGACCCTGCACAGGACAGCCCCCAAAATCACACCACGTGCCACCAATTCTTCTGCATTTTCTGTTTTCCCACAGCATCAGGATGAGGAGTTTTGCTGCTGGTTGTAAACTGTTGAAAATGGTGTTAAAATCCCTGACCTGTGCGTGCAGAGCTTCGGATTCCTCACTTTTAAAACTTTTCTGGGTGCAAAGCAAAGCGGCTTAAATTTGAGCATGGGTCTGTCCTTGGTGGTTTTTTGTGGTACTTGAGGGTGTGTTTGTAGTAGAACAAAAATTTGGGTGGCTGTTTATTCTGATCTTCTCCAAACATGGAAATGTGAGGGAAATCAAGGAGTCTTCCTCAGGGTAGATCCTGTTATTGGAAAGTCAAAAATTTGGGAATCACAGAGAGCAACAGAGCCTGGAATCAGAGATTCATGGGATGGTTTGAGTGGGAAAGGACCTTGAAGCTCATCTCATCCCACCCCCTGCCATGGGCAGGGACACCTCCCATTATCCCAGGTTGCTCCAAGCCCTGTCCAACCTGGCCTTGGACACTTCCAGGGATCCAGGGGCAGCCACAGCTTCTCTGGGCAACCTGTGCCAGGGCCTCCCCACCCTCCCAGGGAAGGATTTCTTCCTCAGAAAACTGCTCTAAACCTTCAGCTTAGGGCCAGAGCACATACAGTTTCCCCTGAACCTGTTTTGTGGCTCAGAGGCAGCACAGCATCCCAAAGTTCTGCTTCCCTGCCCTGCAGTCTCCTCTCTGTACATTCCCTTTTTTCCACGCCGTGGATTTGAACTCACCCCTTTAAATGCCCTGGGAAAGCTTCGTTAAGTTCTGAGGTGACCCCCAACGGTTCTTTTTTGGTGCCCAGGAACCGTCAGCGTTTGGAACCTGCTGCTGGGCCGGGAGCCAATCCATCATTACCAGCACAACCAGAAGATCCAGGCCCTGGCCCTGGGGCCGGGGGGCGCAGCCGTGGCCACGGCGTCGGGCTTCGAGGTCAAGGTGGAAACCCCCGAGGACAGAGGGTTCTGGCAAACCACAGCAACCTTTGAAATCCAGAAACTGGTGAGTCCCCAGCCTGCTCAGCTTCCCTCCAGGAGCTCCTGATCCAGTGATTGTTTCTGGTGCAAGCTAAGAGGGGTCTTGTAGAAGTCTTCCTGAACTAGAGAACAGCCTTATCAGCTGGGGGTTCTGGCTTTGGAGCAGGTTAATGGATGAGCCTTTCAGCACTGAAGAGCAAGGGTGAAATGCTGGCTTAGGCTACGAGTGAAAATGAACCCGAGTCCATATGGTGCAGGAGGTTGGCTGGTTTTAATTATTTTTTTTTTTTCCCCTGTCAACATTAGGTTGGCTCATTTTGTAAATCAGTTTTCTCGCGTAGAATTGGAGCTGAAGCTCCAGGTCTCATTCCAGATCAGCTCTGTCTGATTAATTCTGAGGCAGGATATTGCAGGAGAGCTAATAGTATCACTTGTGAAGCTGGAACTCTTCGGGTTGCACCTTCTGTCAACTGAAGTTTTTGAGACTGTTTTAATTAAAAATCAAAAGCTGTCCCGTTCTCTCAAGTTTTATTGTGTCTCAGAGTATCAACTTTTCTTTGGTAGGGGAAGGAAGTGCAGGGGAATAATTGAGTACTGCAGCCCCTCTGCCACTGCAGGAAGCTGAGTGCACAGCTAAGGGGTGTGAAGGGATTTAAACCACCCCTGATTAATCCCCTCTTCCAAAGCTAAGTCGGCCTTGCAGTGCTTGAAATATTTGGGGATTTTGTTGATTTAAGAGGTTTTCCAGTAAAACCACCACTGTAGTTGAATCCATTTTTTGGATCTTGCTTGCTGTGACAAGTCAGTTTGTCCCGTGGGACACACAGATTCCACACTGTCTTCCAAGGCTGGGTTAGAAATCAACTGTTCAGGAGTTCAAACCCTTCCCACGGTGAGACTTTTCAGCTGTATCTTCATTATTTACTGAAATGGGAAGAGCAACATCCTCCTGGTCTCATGACAGAAGATTTGGGAGCTGGCATTTGGGCTGTCCTAGAGGGATGTGATGTCTCTGTTATAGGGTAACCCTACATGATTGCAGGGTAAACATCAACTATTCCAATTCCATGTGAGTTGTATCGATGTGTTTCCTCTTCTGGAGCACCTTGTTCACATTCCAGCCACGATATTTCCTTTGTGTGCTTCTCTGTCCTTCAGCTGAGGAGTGTGTTAAGTTTTGCTCCTTTCTCTGATGTGACATTTTGGGATGTTTTATTGTAATGTACTCTGATTAGGGTTTCTTTTTTTTTTTTAATGGACTCATTCTAAAGACTGTGAGCTGAATTTCATCATAGGAGCTAAACTTGCAGAAATTCAGAAGTAAAATCGATTCTCGGTCTTTGTCTGAAGTTAACCCATAATTGGGATGACACAAGACATAACACATGGGTAGTTTGCTCAGTTTCAACCAGTGGCAGTGATAATGTAGAAGAATTTGTGATGTATTAAAAATAAAAAGTCTGCTCTTTTCAGGTCAACTTCCTTAATCTGGTTCCAGATGTTACGGGGAGCCCAGTGGCAGTGGCAGCTGCAGAGGACATTGTGTATCTCCTGAAAGCAGAAGATCCTGGCAAAATCCTGCACTCTGTCTATGGCCAGCCTGTCACCTGTCTGGATGTGTCTGCCCATGAAGCTGCCTTTGGGATCAAAACCTTTGGCTGGTTGTTGAATGAGCCCAATCAGGTATTTAATTCTCTTTTGGTAAGATTTTTATACCTTCGTCGTTAACAAAGGGAAAAAAAGAGTTCATGTTGCTTGAGCACTTCCTTCCCTGCTCTTCAGCTTTCAGCAGGAGAGGGAAGACATTCTTTTATGCAATAAATAATTTGATGTTTTTGTGTGTTCTCCTCCTGGGCTGAAGGGAGGGATTATTATTCAACCAACTGTAAACCCTTTTCAATCTCTGCTCCTCAGCAGGGCCCAGCTCGCCTGGTTTATGCTGCATCAGTGGCATCAGGGGGAACTTGGCTCAAACCCCCCCAAAAAAACAACCCAAAAGCCCAAAACATCCCTTTTGGTGAGGGCAGCCTGAGCAACGTGTCAAACCTTGTGCGTGCAAACGTGTGATCTTGGGAGGGGGGGGAGGATTTTTAGGTTGTGCTCTGGAGTATTTGAAGGAAGTCACTTCTGTTTTGGTGAGGATGATGTGACTGTTGGATTAAACATCTTGGCAGGGTGGGTCAAAACCACGCTGGTTTTGTAGCCCTGCTGGAGCCTCATGGCTGAGGGATGCTCTTAATGCAGCTCCTCCAAAGCTCCTCTGATTGCAGGAGGGGTTCTTGTGGGATGGCAGACCCAAATAAGTGACATAAATCATAAACCCATGGAATGGTTGGGTGGGAAGGGACCTTAAAGACCATCCAGTTCCACCCCCTGCCATGGGCAGGGACACCTTCCACTGTCCCAGGCAGCTCCAAGCCCCGTCCAACCTGGCCTTGGACACTCCCAGGGCTGGGGCAGCCACAGCTTTGGGGGCATTTAGAATCCCTGAGATCCCAGGAAGCAGCTCCTGGACACAGCCCTGCTCCAGGGCAGGGACCAAGCTGGAAACAGGAGAGACCTGTTTCCAGATGCCTTGAGAAGAGTTTCCACTCCCAAATTTCATTCCTTTTTCTCTGTTATACCTCAGACCTGTGGTGGACTGTCAGCAATGAGGGGAGGAGGGTTCTTCAGGCAGGTGGAGAAGGAGCAGGAGGTGAGCACACCCAGATGAAAGGAGCTGTGGTCTGTGGTGTACAAAGGCAGCATTCTCCTTGGCAGGTCACCAGAACAGCAAAGCTTTGCTTAGAACTTCCTCTGTGTCCAGCTGCATCTCCTTTCCCCTCAAAATGCACGATCCCCGGGGAGGCCACCACAAATAAATACCTGTAGGACTGGGAGAGGAGGCCGTGCTGTCTTTATTAATTCCTTTACTGCCCTAATCCATCTCCTTTCCCTGCAGAGGTGGGAGGTCAGGAGGCAAAATCGCCTCATTCAGGGGCATCACCTCTGCCACCCCCTTTGTGAAACCCCCTCAGGGCCCCGAGCTCCGCTCTGTAAGGCCAGACATCCTTCCTGATCTAGTCCTGAACTCCTCCAGGGTGGGTTGTGCTAAGCCCTGCATCCCAATCAGGGTGATGGGCTGGGATGTGTGTGACAAGGACACTCTCCTGGCACCGCTGCTCCGCTGACATCACGCCGGAAATTAATTACCAGCGTCTCTTGTGCTAATTCCTCGGCTCCCACAGACGTGAAGGGACTGTGCATTGGCTGATTACACCGGGCACCAGCTCACAAGCTGTCTTGGGGAGAGCTTTCCATCTTGGAAGCCTGATGGTGGAGGATTCCAGCCCCCTTTTGCTGCTGGCTGGGTTTCCTCTCAGGTCGGGGTTTGCTTTGTTTTCCTTCTCCCGCCTTAGTAACCTGCTTTGGGATGAAAATAGTTGGCCGATGAAAAAAACAGTTCAGGAAACCATCACCCTTCCCTCTCTCTCTTTTTTTTTTTAATCATTTTCTAATTTTAACCAAAACTGACAGCAGAGTCGAGATCTGAGGCAAAAAATTCGTAGGATCTTTTATGTTGGAGAGGAGAAAAACATCAAATCCACGGCCTAGACTTGCCTGCTGTCAGACTGCAGACATCCTTGCAGGAGTGAGGGGAGAACAGAAATGCTTCAGCTCTGGGAAGTTCAAGCATCAGACAACCCAAATATGTTGTTGTTTCTTGGAAGTTTGTCTGGTTATTGCTCGTGGAGCTCTTTTTTTATGTTATGCTGCGAATTTCTTCAATCATAGTTCAATAATTCAATAATATTTCAGCTGTCTTAACTCAGCATGGAATGTACTATTTCCCTTAAATTCCAAACTGGAAATCCTGAGGTCTGTGTTCCCATCTAGGCTTGTACAGGGATAATAATATATATATAAAATGTAATATAGTATAAACCCCTTACACATGGAGCATGATAAATGTCAGCATTGACTTCATCCGATTTCTGATGCAATCTGGTTGTAGGCTCTGACCAAAGCTTTTCTCATAGCTGGGGTATTTATAACCTTCCATCTGCTCTCAGGTAACTCTGGTCTCCTGCTGTAGTTCAGGTGAGCTTTGTGAATTATATCTTGACATTTATAGGTTGATTATTTCTTGCAATTTATTTCTTGACATTTTTATTCTCTCGGGGTGGGGAAGGGAAAACCTCAAACCCGATTTTCTTCCTGTATTTAAAATTCAGTTCAAATTTTTGAACCTATTCAGCAGTTCTCGGTGACAGAGTTAATAAACATGGGAGGATTTGGGTGGGTTTGGGCTTGATGAAAGGTGTTGAACCTCACCTGGCTCTTCTCAGCAGCCACTGAAATCCTGCCTGGGTTTGCTCCTGTGTTTAATGTTTCTTTACTGCTTCCCAGTGGGAGTGTATCCAGTAGAATTAACCACTGTTGTGAACTAAATAAACTCTTAAATCACAGAATCATGGAATGGTTTGGGTTGGAAGGGCCCTTAAAGCTCATCCAGTGCCACCTTCCACTAGCCCAGGTTGCTCCAAGCCCATCCAGCCTGGCCTTGGACACTCCCAGGGATGGGGCAGCCTCAGTAAATAATCCTTTAAATTGAATTTCATTGTCTACAGTCTCTCTTGGATGATATATTTAGGTCATGGCTGCTTGATATAAGCTGTTACATCTTTCTTGCTCCTTACTTTGACTAAAATCCTTCTCTTTAACTGAGAAGCTGCAGTGTCTTTTCTGATGTCATCATGTCTCCAGTTCTCAGGGAGTTCCAAAGACTTCCAATAATTTTTTATCTTGATTTTTCTTCTTTTAAAAGTGTGTTTGGTGGTGGTTTTTTTTCAATAAGTTAATCTTTATGAACTCCTGTTTTCATGGTAGAAGGGCTGGGGACTGAATTGGAGCATATGGGACTTGCCCAACTGTTTCTCTTTGAGGAGCTGCAGGACTGCAGAGTGTTAGCAGATCTTCGAAGGTGTTGAAAGGTGTTTTAAATACCTTTTTCTTTATGAACTCTTTGGTATCATGTCAGAGAAACAAACCTCTCTGAGGACCTGAACTGTGTCAGGCACTACAAGGAACAGAGTCCAGAGTTTCCCTCTCAGAGCAGAGAGACCAGAACTTTCCCTTGCCTGAGTTTGACATGATGTATTGATTAACCCCTGTAAATGATCAGAAATAATTTTGCAAGTTAAAATGAATAAATCAATGCCTTTTGCATTGGCTGCCAGGGATGACATTCTGCTTTTTTCCCCTATTTATACAACACTGTGAGTGCCTCAAAACTGGCACAGAGGGTATCTCAGGTTTGGAAAATACAGCTGCTAGGACGGGCCATGAATATTCCAGGTGATACAAAACCAAGAGAATCATTCAGTTTTTAATAATTCTCTTGCTTTTTAATAGCTCCCTTGCTTTTCCTTTCCCCTGTGTTGGGGGAAATGCATTTCTGGGCTTGTTTTCCTAGCGAGTGGGTGGCTCGGTGGGTAAACACACCATCCTTCCAGTGGGCACTGGAGCCTCCAACCACGAGGGCAGTGAGCCTGGTGCCCCCACTGCAGTCCTAGCAGACATCTGTGCCCATCCCAAGCCCATCCAGGCTGGCAGATCCCGAGGGCTGGCAGTGTCCGGCGCTGGAACGGCGAGGGCTGCAGGTGCCTTGGCAGCGCCGGCGCAAGGCTTGGCTCTCCTTCTTCCCACCAGCTTGGAGTCTCACTTCGGAACTCGGGGCAGGGGGAGAAAAACTTCAAAGTGGACAAAAACCCAGCCCCCTCCCCTTGTGTCCAGCTCCGTGGGTGACTCTGCAGCAGGTGGGGAGGAGCGGGGAGCCGCCTCTCCGGCGGGATTGGCCGCGAGCTCCGTTGTTCCCGCGGGTCCCGGGGGGGCTCCGAGCGCGGCTCGAGGCTCTCGGTGCAGCTCAGCCCGGGTTTGCCAGCACAAAGTCACCTCCAGGATGGCATGAAAGTCAATTTTCCGCATGCTCAGAGGAGCCCTTGTGTTACCAGCTTTGCACAATGACTTATATCTGGCAAGAACCTGCAGAATAGTCTCTCTGGCTGATTGTCAAAAATTACATCATATTGGAGTAAACTGCTTTTAAATCAAACATCCATTATTCATGGATATTAACTGCTTTTTTTTTTTATTTATTTTTTTTTTCCAAACTGGCTGTTTTGTGTTTGATTTACTCTTTTTCTTTCTCTCTGATTGTCTGTCTGTCTCCCTCAGCTGCTCCTTTTAAATCTTAGCTCATCTTTAAATTTATGGAGCCAGAACACTTATCTCTGGGTGCAAGTCTCAACGTGCTGACCCTGCATTTGTTAACAGTGAAATTGGTTTCGTTGTTGTTGCAGTGTCATGTGCCATATTTACAGTAGGCAATCCAATACATTTGCACTGGGAAACTGTGCCCCTGAGCCTTGTAAACTTTAAAAATATTATTTTTTCCGCCTCGCTTTAGATACAAAAATCCCAACTTGCAGCAGTGTGTACCATATGTTGTGTTTAATTTGATGAGTTCTGCCACAAATGCATGTGGAGTAGCCTTCCTGCTTTTGTGGATACCCTCTGAAATGGGATGGGTTCAACCTGAGAAAAAAAACAGGATCCCTTTTTATTTGGGGGGGGGCTTGAAATCTCACAACCCTCTCTTTTACTGGCAATATTTGTGTGTATTCAGGAAATGGTTTTTTTTTTCTAGTTGGCAGAGGGATGGACAGAAAGAAAAGGGGAGAATAAATGAAAAGAAATGTAAATTCTGTACCCAGGCTTGCTGCTTGTTCCTGGGTTTGTTTTATTTTGATCCTCTGTCTCTAAAATGACAGAAAGCTCCGTCCTAAACAATTCTTTCCGAAAAAGTGGCTCTTTAATGTATCCTGTGTGCTGTTCAGCCAGGAAAAGGATGTAGGTTTCGAGTGTGGTTTGACAATTGCACTTTTTGCTGACATTTATCACCCTCCCTTCGATACTTCAGCTAAATAAGAACTAAAAATACAGCACACAGCCGGTTCTGAGAGAGACCTCGGTCTTCCCTGGCCGTGCAGTGCCAAAACTTTGGAGAGGAAGGCAGGGCTGGGATTGCAGAGGGAAAGCAGCTCCTCCCCAGAGCAGTGGTGTGCTGGCTCCTGGCCAGGACGGTGGGTTGGACACCCCTGCTCCTGCTGAAAGTACCACAGGCTCTTTGATAACGAGCGCTCGGGGATTTGTTGCTTCAATGTTCCCATCCAAAAAAGACATCTCCGGCAACCCAGGATCCCAAAACACCTGCTGGGGTCTTGGACACGCATGGAAGAGTTCCATCAACAGCATTCCCTTCAGTTCCTTGGTTTTTCTTGGAAGTATCTCAGCCCAGAGTACATCGGCCACGCTTGACCTCACTTAGCTGCACGGTGTAACAAAGCTCCCGGCTCAGCTCTTCTGGCTGCAGAGGCTTTAATTCTTCGGGAATTAATTTTCCTCCTCTTTCAGGAGTTCTTGGACAGCATTTAAAGAGAGTTCCCCGTGCCCACTGCTCTGCAGTAACTTCGCCTTTCTTCCCTTCCCTTGGCTCGTGAATTTTCCAGCTTCTTGGAGTGTCTGTCCGAGAGTGGCCACAGGCTGAGCCTCGCCCAAGTCACCCAGTGAAGAGGGAAATTAGTCTAATGCACTGCCTTAACAAAAGGGGAGAGTATGAGCATGAATAATTAATAGCACCGGTCTGTGGCAACGGGATAAAATGAAGTCCCATTTGCTCAGCCTTATTAAAAGAGAGAGAGGGAGAGGGAGGGATGGGAAGGGTCGTTAAGGGACTTGTAACATGGCAAGAATCGCCTCCGAGGTGGATAATGTGTTTTCTAATCTCTGTGGTCTTTAACTAAACATAATGGTGGAGGTGCTCTGGCTATTCCTGGCTCCTTGAATTATGGAGCATTCTGGGAGGTTGGTTGGCTCCTGGCCAAGGGCTCTGACTTTTCATCTGGGCAAGGTTAATAGGTAACACTTTTTATCCCGTGCCTGGGGTCCCCCTAAGGTCTGCCCGGGGTCTTTAATGCTTTTTTTCCCCTGTGTGTCCCCCCAGGTCCCTCTGGGGGCAGGGATCTCGTTAGTGTGTTATCCCAGGACACTTCATTTCACACCCAGATGCTCTGGGTTCACTTACCTTCGCTTGGTACCTATTAGGTCACTGGTCTTGGGTGTCCATTATGGGATTATAAATACCTTTAAAAGGGTAATCCCCTTGCAGTGTGCATTACAGGATTATAAACCTCCCAGAGATCTTAGGCTTTATCTGCCCTTTAACACACAGGCCCTTATTTCAAGTCCCTATTGACCAGGTATTTCCATTCTTTCTCCTTGGCCTTTGTAAAGAAAATCCTTCTTGCCTTGGGATATTATAGGAGAGCTCATCAGAACTTCAAAATTGTCCTCAGTGTGCTTTTAAACTCCTTGTCTTCAAGAAATCGTTATTCAGACTTCAAAAAAAAAAAAAAGAAAAAGGCACTCTGAGTGCTTTTTGCTTCTTTACTTATCAGCTTGCCACGAAAACACGTTGAAATTCATTTGCAGAGCATGAAATCGCTGGGGACAAGTTGAATTTCGAGATAGACAAATCCTGAAGATCACAAAGAGAATCTTCCAGTGACGGCTCTAATTGGCTAGAGAGACACGTGAGCGTGATAAAATTCAAAATAAAATTTTATTTTAGCAATCAGTGCTGTTATTGATTGTTAAAATAAACAGTCTTTGAAAGAATAGAGGCTGGCATGAGAGGAGAAGGCATTGGAGGGGGTAGGAGATGATGAGACAGAAGCTTTTCTTCCATTTTTGTGAATGCGAAGCTTTACTTTTTTACAGATTCTTAGCTGCAAATGCTTTAAACTAGTGGCCACCTACAGGTTGTGGGAGGAGAAATAAGTGATTTTTCAGCTGGTGTGGTACCTGTGAGTTTTGCCCCAGGGCTGGAACTGAGGCTGCAAAGAGGGGAACGTGCGACATTTGCTCCGACGGAGAGCGGGGGAATCTTTAAATGCCACGTGGAAGCAATTTTTCCTTGGGGTCTTCCACGGCCATAACCGAATTTTCAAGGACATATCATATGTTTATGGGGTAGATGGGAGCCATGGTCATTTAGGTAAATTAATAGTTTCTGGATGTTCCCTGTCAGCATTAGCCCCGGGGGGCTTTTGGGAAAGCAGCTTTTGGCCCTCTCCTCTCCGGAGCTTTTCCATCCAGCTGGGAAGAGGCTCAACTGGGAGCTGGAATACTTTGCTGCTGACCCCGTCACTTATTGTTCTTAGGTTGAATTCAGCACTTTATTGACTTTGTCTTTTGTTCAGAACTTTCCAAGGAGAAATTTGGTTGCCAGGCCCCGATATTAATTTCCTTTGCAGTGAAAACTCTTCGAGGCCCCTTTGCCAGAACGTCATTATCTCTGGGTTTGGTTAGTGAGCTGTTGGGAGCTGGGCTGCGAGTGAGAACAGCCTGTAAAATTGCTCTGGACCTCAAAGATTAACATTTCCATGCAGTTTGTAGCAATATTTTCCTTGGTGGGCAAGTTTAAATGAATTTTTTAGCAACTTTATGCCCGAAGCCTCGCTGCAAGTACAGAGCCTTCCTGGTTTTACAGAGCTTGGGTAAAAATTGCTTTGGTTTTTCGGGTCTTAAGGATGAAAAATAACATGTTAAAGACTGGTATTTGAGGCAGGTAAGTTCACAAAGGACTAGTTGGGAGATTACAAATCTTATAAGCACCTCAGGAAGTGGGATGTGAATGAGTTGATCCTAACAGGGAGCTGATAATATGTCTGAATAAAACCCTGCCTGCTCTTTAGCTGGGAGAAATGGCAGGTGGAGGGAACCTGTAAATCCTCTGGATTTAAAATTCCTGGAGACTTTTAAAGCTTCACTTTTGTTGCCCAGTCCTGCATCACAAAACGAGCCTCCCTTCCTTTAATTCAACCTTTCAGATCTCTGCAGTTGCACAAATAGGAAGTTAAAAGGCCAGGCAGCATCAGTGTCTCTGCTCTGGCAAATGCTGAAATAATACCTACAGACTGTGTAATATTTATTAAGCTGCACTGGATATAACCAGCAAATTAGAAGTAAAGGATATTGATGTGAGGTTGGCCTGGCCATGCTGATGTTGCCATGAGTTTCTGCTGATATTTTAAGTACCATTAACTCCTCTCATGGTCACAGGTCTCTCTTAATTGAAAGGAGCATCACCGTGAAATTTAATAACGTTTATGAAGTTATGTAAGGCCAGGTGCAGTGCTGAGCTCCACTGGGCTTCGACCAGCACGTTTTCCTGCTTCTAAAAATACTCGTTTCTCCTAAATTGAAAGGCCCAAACAGATAAATCTCATCTGGCCCCAGAGGAAAGACAGCAAACGTGATGGAACTGATTGAGGAGGGGGAACAACTCGTCCCTCTCGTCCGGGCTCTGGTTGAATCATCTCGGATGTTGCCTAAAATCAGGGTTGTTTTTCTGCCTTTGCCATCTGAGCTGCCACTTCAGATGTGATTTTCCTCCTGGTCTGTGTGATGTGCAGCACAGCTCTCAGCAGGGCCCGTGTTCTGTTCTGCTCTGCGATTTCGGCTGCACTTGGCTGGCCCTGCCTCTCTCAGCCCATCTGTCTGAACCTTCTCAGTGCTGGTGCTCTTCACTCCTGCTACTCGTTCAGATATTCAAATTGGGGAAGAAACTGTTTGGTTTTCCTCACAGACTTTAAAGATTTGGCCTGGAGAAACTGCCTGGGAGCTGTCCCTGTCTGCTGCTGGGTGGCACTGGTGGTGCATCCCTGCTCCTTGATGGATTCCACTGGGAAACCCAATTCCCTTATTTCTGAGGTTGTGTCCCCCCCAACAGACACTGATATTACACAGTCTGTAGGTATTATTTCAGCATTTGCCAGAGCAGAGACACTAGTGCTGCCTGGCCTTTTATTTCCTATTTGTGCAGCTGCAGAGGTCTGAAGGGTGGAGTTTGAGAGAGGAGAGGATCATTTTGTGCTGGAGGACTGGGCAACAAGTGAAGCTTTAAAAATCTCTAAGAATACTAGAGGTGTATTTCTGGGGTGTTGTATCCCCCTCTTAATAGGGATAGATCTGCCTCCTGATCACGTGTTACATATCAAGCCACAAGCAAAACATCTCTGGTGGTAACAACTCCGCTCCGTGCTGCAGCAAAACCTCTTTGTCGTGCTCACGAGGAATTCATCCTGTGTTTTGTCCCCTTTCTGGCAGATTCTTCTTTACAACCTGGAAACAAACCAGTGCCTGACCAAGGTGGGCAACTCCATAGGTGACTTCACGTGTGTCAACCTCCGCGACAGCCCTCCCCACATGCTCGTTGCAGGCAACAAGGACAGAAAGTAAGTGCCACCATCTCCAATTAGCTGACTTCCCATCCTGCTGTCCTACATCTGGACCTGCTGGAATCGGTTCCTCCTCTAACGTTTCAAATGCAGCCACAGTTTGAGGAACAAACTATTAGGTAATAGTTGGACGTGGCTGTCAGCGGGCTTTGTTTTCGGGAAGCTCCCTGGGAAGACTTTGCTTTTCCAGCCATTTGGTGGACGCAGTTGGTGCACAGCCCAGCGAGACCACTTGGAATATCTTCCCCTTCCCCGCCACCACCCGCAAAATTAGTTTGGCATTTAAAAGCTCACTTTCTGATATTAAAAAAATAACCTCGGGGATGAATCGTGGGGGATGAGAGGGGCCCGGCTGCCAAACGATGTCAAGAGTGTATTTGGGAACACTGTGATGTCCCTCAGGTGACAGGAAAAAAAAAAAGAGACTTTCATATGAACAGATTCCAGCTTCTATTTAGCTGATTAGCAGCTTTCTCTTTAACTCCTTGGCTCGGGGAGTAGGATTTTCCCAGCGCAGTGGCCGGTGCCAGGAGCGGCCACGCTGGGAACAGGCAGCGCGAAAGGATTAAAGTGCTTAAAAAGACCCTCTGAGTCCAATTTTTAGATTTTCTTTTCCTGGCGAGTCGTCGGTGGGGTCTGATCCAGTGCTCCAAAGGAGATGTGGGATGGCAGGGAGCCAGTCCCTAATGGCTCCCGCTTCCTTCCCTCCTCCTTTCCCCGTGCCGGGCACCAGGCTGCAGGTGGTGCTGTGCCGTGGTGGTGGGATCAGATTGGGAGGCGGGCACTTCCCTCTGCCAAATCCCAGACCTCTGTCCCGCCAGAGCAGCAGCTTGCAAAAATGATTATTTTGTCAAACAGCTTTTTTTTTTCCCCCCCCTCCTTTCTCAGTGAACAGGCAGTGCAAGCAAACCTCACACTTCCTCGGCACTCAGGGTGAGGGAAATATCTGGAGTTCGACAAGTGGACTTGAGTCCTTGGGAGGCTTCTTTTTTTGCCCTCTAAAAGCAGATAATTGATTTTCCAAAGCACCCCAGTGAAACTGCCTCCAGTTTTGATCTCTTGCACGGTGACAGGAGAGTTTCTGAAGCTGATATCCCTTCGGTGGGATTGGGATTCACTCCCTTTGGAGTCTGTGCCCTTTCCCCTCCAGAAAGCTTTTTGGTTTTTCAGCTCAAGCACTGACTGAGTTTAAGAGGTTGGTTGTCACTTAAATAGCAAGGAGTTAAGAATTAATAGTTGAGCAAACAAGTGTGGCATCCAGGAGGCAGGACCACGAGTATCTCCGAGGTCAGTGCCTCTTGTGCTGCTGCATGAAGGTGCTGGGCATCCACAGGTGGAATGAGACTGGAACCTCCACAGCCCTATTAAGGAGCAAATCTACTAAATAGGGACCTTGCCACGGGAGTTCAGACTGCTGGTGGCCAGTGGGAACACTTATAGCTTGAATTAAATGCAGCAGTTTCACAATTTCACTGGAATATGATGTTCTTTTATTCAAAGCCACGATTTTGAGAAGTTAACGCTTGGGAAACGTTTTTGGTAGGACCTGTAAAATCTGTCTCTCCACCGAAAACACTCCTGAAGCGTCGCTGATTTATTTGATTTCTGAGCTGTGCTTCACTCTGGCAAGAGGTGTGACAGCAGGGAGCGTGTGCTGATCCTGCTTTTCCGTGCTGGAAGCTGGGCTGGCGAACGGCGTTGGGAAAGCAAACACATGGCAAGCCCGGTCGCCGGGAGCGTGGATCAAAACATGTATTCCATGCTTTCCTGGAGGCAAGGCAGCTTAATTTTGAGTCAGTCTAACAGGAGGGTCAAAGCCTGGTCATGAGAACACCTTCCCCACTGCTCCCAGGGCTGGGATGAGCCCGGAGTGCTCCCACTGAGCCCAGCTGTTGAGGCAGGAGGAGCCGGGCCGTGCCAGGTCTGTGTTACAGCATCGCATTAGATTGGCAAAACGTTCCTCTTTCTTCCCTTCAAAGCACATCTGAGCAGCACAAGTGTGCCTGTGATTCTTCCAGGGGTGTGCCAGGATGGACACCTGCCTGAAACCCGGGCGCTCGCTAATGGAATAAGCAGGACTCAATCAGATCTTCGCTTCCAGCTGAGCCTTCCAAACAGGAGCAGCTTTGATTTCCGTGCAGAGCACAGGCAGGACAGCAGCCCTTCCAAAATAGCCCATCCTCACCCAAAGCACTGCTCCAACACGTAGCCAAAGCTCCTCTCTGCTGGAGCTGGAGGCAGCGAGGCCTTGTCACCATCCCAGCTGAGGGATGGGATGTTCCCAAGGGCGGCCGTGCAGCCACACGGAGCGTGTTCCTCGCCCCGTTCCAGCATGTTTTGCTGCATGTCAGATGGATGTTGCTCTGCTGGAGTTCTGGACTGTTCTGTTGCCTTTTTCTTTCAGTCCCTGAAATGTGTTGTTTGTAAAATCCTCCGGTGCAATCTCCGTTTGAGAAAGGAAAAGGAAAGACTTGCACAACACCATTAGGATCGTAGCAGGGGTGTGGAATAAAGCACAGTTAATGTGTTGGAACAAGTGTGTTTTGGCCTTTTCTGGAATTAATGTGGACCTGATGCTTTCACTCCTGATGGCCATCAGCTGGGAGGAACTTTCTCTGGCTTCCTTTCAAATCTGAGATCAGTATTTCACCTTTCCTTCTGTTTTCACTTGCTGCATTTATTTATTCACTGATGCTTCATCTCTTAATCCTGACATATTGGATCCTGACATAAGGATCAGAAAAATATACTCCTTTGTGATATGTGCTGGGTTTAAAACTTGAACTGGTTTTGTGGCCTTGTTGCAGTGGTTGAAATCCTGAGTTCTTTTCCTGTAGTTCTCTTTTGGCTGAGTCTTCCTTATGTTTCTCTTCCAAGTGCTTTGTCTGAGTGGTCAATAATGTCTGAAAACCAGATGTACCTAAAATCAGTCAGTGGCTGCATTTTTGAAGTGAGAAGAGATACTGGTTGCTGGGTGCCTGTGGATGGTTTTGTTTTAATATTAGTGATTAAATATTAGTCAAGGGTATAAATATATTTAATATTAGTCAAGGGTATAAATATGTAATTCCCTTTTCTTGTGTTTTAATTTGCCACACATTTAGTGTCTTCTGAAATCTTTAGAATCACGGTCCTTTTCTTGATCCTGGTAATAATATTACCCCTCATCCCGAGTGGATGTGGCTTGGGTACCAGGGGTAGGATGTGTTAGCAGTGTGCCCAAAACACAGGATTTGGTGCCTCAGGGCATTGCTGATGTTTTGGGAGGCACAGACAGAGGAGCTTTCTCCAAATTGCACTTATATTTTGGATCATGGGCTCAGAGAATCACAGGATGGGTTGGGTGGGAAGGGACCTTAAAGCTCATCCAGTCCCACCCCTGCCATGGGCAGGGACACCTCCCACTAGCCCAGGTTGCTCCAAGCCCCATCCAGCCTTTTTTGGAACATTTTCAGGGATGGGGCAGCCACAGCTTCTCTGGGCAACCTGTGCCAGGGCCTCCCCACCCTCACAGCCAGGAATTCCTTCCCAGTATCCCATCTATCCCTGCCCTCTGACAGTGGGAAGCCATTCCCTGTGTCCTATCCCTCCATCCCTTGTCCCCAGTCCCTCTCCAGCTCTCCTGGAGCCCCTTTAGGCCCTGCAAGGGGCTCTCAGCTCTCCCTGGAGCCTTCTCTTGTCCAGGTGAACCCCCCCAGCTCTCCCAGCCTGGCTCCAGAGCAGAGGGGCTCCAGCCCTGGCAGCATCTCCATGGCCTCCTCTGGACTCACTCCAGCAGCTCCACGTCCTCCCTGTGCTGAGGACCCCAGGGTTGGGGTCTTAGGACCTGTAAAGAGGCCCTCTTTAGGTCCTAGGACTTGTAAAGAGTCAGGGAAGTGCTGTATGGTGGGAGAAGTCTGCCTGAAAAACCCTCTGATAACCAGAAGTCCGAGGAAAAACTCAGCAGTGAAAAATATGGACCCAACTGGTTTTCCAGCCCTGCAGTGGCCACGGGGCTGCTGCTGCTGTCCCAGCTAACATTTTCACGACCCCAAAGATCCCCGTGCTCTCAGCACCCACAAGGCTGCACGTCCACAGCTGGTTTTAATTCCCTGTTTGTTCTCCCTGGCTTTGGTTTAGGGTCAGGG